TCCATCTCCATGCAGAAATTAATCAAGTATAGCTGAACATCTAAAACTATATCCGTAGGCACTGCACTAAATGCCCTGATACAGTTCTATACATAAGTACACTAACTACAACAGTTATTTCTTTGTAAGGCATGGAGGAGGCAAGGGAGGAGACAGACAAAATCATACAATCATACAATATCAAGGTTCGAAGGGTCCTCAGGAGGCCATCTAGTCCAACCCCCTGCTCAAAGCGGGACCAATCCCCAACTAAATCATCCCAGCCAGGGCTTCGTCAAGCCTGACCTTAAAAACCTCTAAGGAAGGAGATTCCACCACTTCCCTAGGTAACCCATTCCAGTGCTTCACCACCCTCCCAGTGAAAAAGTTTTTCCTAATATCGAACCTAAATCTTCCCCACTGCAACTTGAGACCATTACTCCTTGTTCTGTCATCTGGTACCACTGAGAACAGCAGAGCTCCATCCTCTTTGGAACCCCCTTTCAGGTAGTTGAAAGCAGCTATCAAATCCCCACCTCATTCTTCTCTTCTGCAGACAAAACAATCCCAGGCCCCTCAGCCTCTCCTCATAAGTCATATGTTCCAGCCCCCTAATCATGTTTGTTGTCCTCCGCTGGACTCTTTCCAATTTTTCCACATCCTTCTTGTAGTGTGGGGCCCAAAACTGGACACAGTACTCCAGATGAGGCCTCACCAATGCCAAATAGAGGGGAATGATCACATCCCTCGATCTGCTGGCAATGCCCCTACTTATACAGCTCAAAATGCTGTTAGCCTTCTTGGCAACAAGGGCACACTGTCGACTTATATCCAGTTTCTCATCCACTGTAACTCCTAGGTCCTTTTCTGCAGAATTGCTGCCTAGTAATTCGGTCCCTACTCTGTAGCAGTGCATGGGATTCTTTTGTCCTAAGTGCAGGACTCTGCACTTGTCCTTGTTGAACCTCATCAGATTTCTTTTGGCCCATCCTCTAATTTGTCTAGGTCCCGCTGTATCCTATCCCTACCCTCCAGCCTATCGACACTAAACTGGGAGGAGTGGTAATCTGCAAATTTGCTGAGGGTGCAGTCCACGCCATCCTCCAGATCATTAATGAAGATACTGAACAAAACCGGCCCCAGGACTGACCCTTGGGGCACTCCGCTTGATACCGGCTGCCAACTAGACATGGAGCCATTGATCAGTACCCACTGAGCCCGACAATTTAACCAGCTTTCTATCCACCTTATAGTCCATTCATCCAGTCCATACTTCTTTAACTTGCCAGTAAGAATACTGTGGGAGACCATATGAAAAGCTTTGCTAAAGTCAAGGAATAACACGTCCACTGAGTTCTCCTCATCCACGGAGCCAGTTATCTCATGATAGAAGGCAATTAGGTTAGTCAGGCATGACTTGCCCTTGGTGAATCCACGCTGACTGTTCCTGATCACTTTCCTCTCTTCCAAGTGCATCAGAATTGATTCCTTGAGGACCTGCTCAATGATTTTTCCAGGGACTGGAACAAACACTTCCGCTCCAAAATCAAATCTGTAGCCCGTTGCTCTAAATGGCTTCAATAGCTTCCCAAATCAGGAAATGCATTTTCCTCGCTTCTATTTTATATTGCGCTCTGCTTATTTCACAAAGAATAATCTTGTAACGTGCTATTATCCCTTACCCAGCGCAAAAAACATCAAGATCTTCACTGTGCTTTCTCAGTATTTCTCACTGATGCACGACTACCCACACAGTCCCACAGTGGGAACACTACTGGAATAAGAGATATATATAATTGAATTAAGTGTAGGATAGACATAACTTGTGTTACTTGAATCAACTCATGCAAACATGATTCAGTCCATCCTCATGTGGTATTCCTATTTGTGTTTAGTGGACTTGCTGTTCAGCATCTCATCCACACTAGTGCTGCATTCAATCACATTAGCAACAGCGACCTATGGTAATGAATCCCAGAATTCCTGGCACCACTCCAAACTGTGGTGCATTGTGGGTGACTGAACAATCCTCTAGGATGACTCCTGCGCACCCAGAGGGATTGTGGGAGCAGAGGTCAAACTCCCAGAATTGCTCCAGGTTCCAGACACGGCATCCCATGAAAGCAAGCCAGCACGTTTACTACTGTGTTGTCTAATTCTATTCAGCGAAGATCTACATATCCAGTGGTAAAAACCCTGGTGGATACCGCAATTTAGCTACACGACAACTCCCACTCTTGCTCTTTCCAGTGAAGCTACACTGCTGCTAGAACAACTTGAGAAGTTTTAAGAAAAACAAATAATAGTGTAAACCATCTGACATATTTGTCTGGACGGTGCTTTAGGAGCAGAGAGAATATTAATTATTGCTAACCTTGGGTCACATTCTTTGTGACCTTCCCTTCTAGGAATTCCACCAGTAAAATTACTGCAATACACCACCCAGACCTGTGTACACAGCTCCTCTTCGATGGGTGTGAAGGGAGTGTCCTTCCAAAGAGATATGACCCTAATCCTACAAAGATTTAAGTGTGTGTTTAAATCTGAAATCTCAGGGCCTTAATTTGACCGAGGGCTATGCCTAGGTTACAAAAAGAAAGAGAATGAATTATAACAGAACCCCATGATTCAACTGCATCGTAGGAGATGTCATCCACAACCATTTTATAAAGCGGTTAACACCTATGCAAGTGAGACACGTTCATACAAAAAACTAGTCTTTTATTTTAAAGTAGAAACTGCTTCAGTTAAGTAGGTGCAGATTCAGGAGCCTAGGTCCCTGAAATCAAGGGAGGTTGGCCATTGACTTCAACAGGAGGAGGACTGAGTTTCTCTGCTACCGAGTTTCCCCAGGCATCATGAAGACATCAGCATGTGTTATGGCAAACAATTTAAGCCTGGTCTAAAACACCAAAACGTTGTACCACTTTAACTATCCTGTCCTAATCAAAGCAATACAGCCGCTCTACTACAGACATGTCTCAGTACATTTTATTCCGGCAAAGGAATCACCTATACCACTATAAGCACACATATAGGCTCCGGGTTGTACTTCTACAACTATATTAGTAATAAAATGAATTTAAAAAAAACCTGCATCCATAACTGATATTATACCAGTATATGGCCTGGTCTCTACACTGGTTTTATACGTGCAAACACTGGGGGAGGGCGGGGGGATGCGTCCACGGGGGGAAATACAGAAAAGGGCTGAGAAATAAATACAAACAGAACATTTTGTTTTAAATTATGCACAATGTTTTTGTTTCAATGACGGTGCGCTGTATGTGCTGGAGTACTATTGTGGTATAAGGACAAACAAAATGCAAGACAAAATCCTTTGAAGCTCTTTGGGGCAGGAGCAATCATCTACTAGCACAATGTGGCCTTAACATGCTCGGCCTCATTTAAATGTTTAATAAAATAATATAAACAATGCACAGGGGGAAAGCAACACTGCATATGATGCTTTATAACAGTACCCTGAATAATAAACATTGACTGCATCAATTTCTACAGGTCACTTAAATATTTTTAAGCGAGGCTTTTCTAAAAATATATAAAATATTACAAAATATTTATAACTTTCATCACCAAGCAGAAATGCAGTGCATCATGGTGATGTCAGCTAGATGGGACATTATAGGAGGAAAACAATATCCTCACATACTAGAAACCATAGGATATGCACATTTTGCATATGACATTAAACATACAGATAGTGGTGGCTAATTTACTGTAATATATACCCTAAAGACATATAATTCAAATGAGCTATGGTTTTAAAATATTTTTTTTAAATGGGGATGTATTCATTAAAAGGAATTGATGGACCTTTTACATCCGTAAGCACGGATTACTCATTGTACCGGACCATAAATATGGACAAGTGAACATGTCTAAACTTGTCGATATGAACATGATTAAAATAAAATTATAAAAAAAAAAAAGGACTTTACTAAGACTCTCAAATCTCATTCTGTGATTCTTCACCATGCTGCTCTTCTAAGATGTTATTTCATTTACCAATTACACAATAGTTTAAACACTTTATATGTTGTATCTACAAAGATCTCTAAATACGCATGCACACACATTTAATACGCGGCCTTATAAAAACATGCATTGCCATGGCTCTGAAGAAATGAGCACCTTTGGAAAAAATGTCCTTTAAGAGGCGATAAAGTATTTTCCCTGTCCATTTAGTTACGGGCCCTGAAGAAGCACCATCCAGCAAAATTCAATTGCTCATATTAAAGATGGTATGAGCACCGACATTCCAGATCTGCAGGCTAGAATCTGAATACTTAATATAAAACGTATAGAAGCAATACTAAAATCGCTCCTAATACAAATCTGCACTTTGACCGAACAACAGCCTGCATAAATGTAACTGGTGGAGAAAGCAAATCAACAATCTACTAAAACATGCACACTTTAAACTCAGACACACCACTCCCCTGACTCAAATGTAAAACAAAATGTAAAAGTTGCACAGCTACAAAAGTAAAAGAGGGAGTTTGCGTGCATTGATTTCTCTCTCTAGCTATCATGTATTTGGAAAATACTGTAATCTGAACAAGGCGGGGGGGGGGGGGGAGGGATAGGGAGATGGGGGATGGGCAAATCAAGCCTTGTCATTTCAATGCAATCTACACCCCAAACATTACCGATCTTATTATGGTGATTTTGTATGTTTTAAAACAATCCTGATCGTTTCTTGCTGCATCTGCACTTTCTGTTTCCAAATTTCTATTTTTAGTCCATCTTTCACCAAGTGCTTTAAAACCGAGGAATTATCTCTTGACACAAAGAATGCGATGACCCCACAAAACCTGCAAACACCCTGGCAATTTAGGAGTGCGATTAGTTTAGGTATATATTTAAAACAAAACAAAACAAACATCCTCCCCTCCCCCCTCCCCACCCCCCCATTTATTTCAACCTTAGCAACTCACTGCGCATCTCTCCCTGGATTGCAAGAAGGAGTCCCAACGAAATCCTAACTAGTGCAAACTTACTGGCAATTTCAGGCTGTTTCCCACCATAAAATCCATTCCAGAGCGGTGCAAAAAAGGGCTTCCGAACGCGGCCGCTTTGCAGCGAGAAGCTCAGCCTGCTGCCCATGTGCTCGTAGGAGCACGCGCTCCGCGCTCGCCTCAATAGAACGTTGCGCTGGCAAGAGGCTCTGTGACGTCACTGCCCCCAGCAGCTGATCCTGCCCCGCAGGCTGCAGCCTTAGGCGGAGCGGACTGGTTACTGCCTCCGCCTCCAGCACCGGGGACGTGCAAAGGAACAGGAGGGAAAGGCCATACCTGGAGCTGACGGATCCTGCCAATTCGGGACCCCAAAGCTGTACCGTGAAAGCAGAGAACAGACCCAGCTGCTCTCACTGCACTAACAAACCCCTCATCCTGGAGCATCCCAGAGCAGGAGTGCCAGGAAAACCCACATCCAGCACTTAGATCACGTTGGATCCAGCCAAATTTTGGCCCCAAACTCCCAAAGTCTAATGCCTGAATAGACAGTATATCTGGCTGTTCTTTTTCTTCTTCAAAATGGGAGTTTTATTGACACATTAAAAATATGCGAAAGTATGAGATTGAAAGGAAATCCGTGTTTTTGCTGTACACAGGCTGATAGGCACCTTGCTGTGTTGGCAAGAAACTCAGCAGAGATAATGTCATCTTAGAATGAACCAGTCAGTCACAGAACTAGCAGCCAGAGGTCTTTCCTGTGCACATTAAATGGCAGAACAGGAGTCACCACTGGAGGACTCCCACCCTTTCCCATAAGGCAGCTCTACATCCCATCGCCCAGCTGTTCTGAGAAACTGTGCATGGCCTTCCTGAACAAGTCCACTCCACTCCCCCCTTAAACTCTTCATAGCTGCACATGGTATGCCCATTCAGCTGCAGCAGTCCCGGCCTGGGTTGGACGCTAGCCAGGGACCCTCTTACTGCACCAGCAAAACTCTGCACCCTGACACCTCTGGGCATGAGCACCATAGTAACTGGTAACTGCATTTGGAGTCTGCTAGATCCCTCCAGTTTTGGACCTTCACGTCCCAAATCCCCTGGCGTGAATAGAGAACAAGTTTAGGTCTTCTTCCTACTGCAGCAAAAAATCCTGGTCCCTGGAAGGGACCTTGAAAGGTCATTGAGTCCAGCCCCCTGCCTTCACTAGCAGGACCAAATTACATTACAAGAGATGGCCAATCAGCAATTTCTAACCCCAGCCCACAAATTAGGGTGGCCAGATGCCCGATTTTATAGGGACATTCCAAACAACATATTCAGGGCTTTGTCTTGTGTAGGCATCTATAACCCCCACTACCTGTCCTGATTTTTCACACTTGCTATCTGGTCACCCTACCCCAAACCCTACTGTCTAACTAGAGAAAGTAACATAGTTGGCCATTAGCACACCAAAAATCCAGCCCATGCTACTAACTGAGCAAAAACGTCTATCCAGAACTTGGATCCCAACTAGTTTTATTATGCCAACCCAAAAATTCTACCATCTAACTAGAGGAGAAGTGTAGCAGTTCCAGCTCCACTATGAACATCTTGATCCCAATGCATTCTAGCTCAAAAGCACTGTAAAGACATATGTCCTATATCTGGAGCTTGCTGGATTCCACTATTTTTTGGTCTCAAACCTCAATTTGTACTTTCAATATAGACAAACCATATTGTCACTCCTACTTGACCAGAAGAATCCAAGACTTGATACCTACTCCCCAAACCACCTCTGGAAAGAGCAATGAAAAAAACAAATACTTGCTATGTGGGTCTTGCTGGATCCAGAAAATTTGGGACCAAACACCTCTAATTTCTACAGCATAAATGGAGACCAAATGTAGCTGCCCCGAGCCCATTATGAAAATCTGGTCTCAGATACATCTTTGCACATGAACAATCGAAGACTCCAGATATGGACCTGGATCTTGCAAGATCTCATCCATTTTTTCATTTAGATCTGCAAAGTGTTACCTTCTAGATAGACAGCAAATGTAGCCATCCTTCTGAATCAGTATCCAGTGCACTGAGATCTTCAAGTTT